CTGGGTGTGCTTCTAATGAGCTGTGTGACCTCAGGACAGTGAAGCAGCCTCTCTGAAGCTCAGTCTCCAATCTGAACTAGATGGTCCTGGCTGGGCCTTCAGCTCCTCCACCTGAGGATGGTGGAGCTGCTGTTTGCGCATCTCTGAGAAGCACTGATCCCTGATGTCCCACACCACGCCGGGAGTGACCGTGGCACCACAAGGACCACAGATGGCCCAAGAGATTCAAGACCACCTGCCTGAGACACTGCTAGCTGCACCTCTAGAGGCCAAGCCAGACGTGGATGTCGGTGGCTGAGAGGCGGACTGCAGCCCCTCTGATGCTGCCTGCTTAGGCCTGGCCGCTCTGCCGCCATGGCTGACCTCCTAACTGACCCAGGGGCAGTCACAGCAGGAGGCTGACCTGGTGGACACTGCTTAACCCTCCACAGATTTCACAGCTCAAAGGACCTTTTGAAAGGAACAGAACCAATTATCTCCGTCCTCTGGCTGACATCCTTTCCAGGACAAGTTCCTGGCTGTAAGCCGGCTGCCAGCCGTTCCTTAAAGGGAATCTGGGGAGCGTCTGCCCTGTGCCAGGTGTGGTTTGCCAGGGCGGCATGCAGAAGGGCTGGCATCCTGCCCCCTGCGCTGTGCCTACAGCACAACGGACATAGCTTCTGCATCTGCAGATGGGAGCTGCCCACCACCCGCTTCCGCCCTCGCCCGGCAGACACTCACTTGCTGCAGTGTCTCCTCTGTGGTGCTGAAGTTGAGGTTTTTAATGAACAGAGTGCACCCTGGAAGGCTCTCCTCGTCGTCCTCTTCCTCGTCCGCCTCCTCCTCTTCTTCCGTCTTGGCTGTGGGGGCCTCTGCTCCTTCCTCCACTGGCTTCTCACCGTCTGGGGCCTCACCATCAGCCACTGACCCCAACAACAAACAAACAGCCCAGTGAGCCACGTCTGCCCAGCAGAGCCAGGGCCAGAGCACAGGACCTGCTGGACCAAGGGGTAGTGCTCCGTGGGCACTGCAGGAGGGACTATGCCAGTTTCAGCAACGAGAGCGCGAGAGGAAACAATGTCCTGTGTCTGCCCCGTTTCATTTTATTACTTTGTGGATACTGGGGATTGAACTCAGGGGTACTCGACCACTGAGCCACATCCCCAACACGTTTTTTTGTATTTCATTTAGAGACA